GGGGGGGGGGGGGGTCGAAGAACGAAGCGGTGGAGTGGCATGGGGCAGGATACTGCACAAAGTTTCGAACATAGAACATGAGGGGGGGGGGCATTCAAACGGAGGTTGCAGTAGATGGCAGTTGATACTCTTGCGTGAAGACCAAGCAACAAGCAGTCTTGGCTACCGATTGTCGAGAAACGGAACCCGGTCGTGCACGATTGCTTACACATACACCACAAGTTCCGGTGTAACCCTAGACCTCCCCCATACTGTGTCTCTGCTTCATCCTTGTGAAACGTACCTGTATCGCTACATATGCATGTCCCGGCATGGTTAGTGTAGGCATGCGAGGTCATAGTGTAATGTCAATGGTGTAACGACCAGGCAGGCGTGTACAGGGGTACGCCCGCTCCCCAGTTACCAACAACCCCCCCTGCTGGCAGCTTGTGCCGAGAGAGAAGAACAGAATATAAAGAAAGAAACCGAGGATAAGGAGGGTCTAGAAGTGTACGGAATGTTCAAGGAAGGAATAGGGTTCCAGGATTACTTGCACGGACCAATGGATTCACGGACAAAGCTTCAGGTCAAATTCAGGGCCGGGGACACAGGCCTTCGAGAACGTCGACGAAGACGGAAGACGGTAGACGACAAGGACGACAAGTTCAAATGTGATTGCGGCTTAGAATGCGAAGACCATGTTCATACAGTCGCGGAATGTCAGTTGTATGAAAAGGAGAGGGAAGTGTACATGAATGAGCTGGGAAAAATACAAGGGAGGTACAGGGAGATGTTTGAGGCATGGAATGGAGAGGAGAGGACGGTAGCTGTACTGGGGAGTAAAAAGTGGTTTGAACAGGCGGGAAGTGATATCGTTAGGATAGATAGACNGCGCTGATCGGAGCCACCACCACGCTGGTGACCTCCCGCTTGGCGCCGGTCCGAAGATGCGTCCCGCGGGCGGCCTCCTTGGCGGCTCCGGCCAGCTCCGGAATCGATGGAGCGACGCCAACCGTTTAAGTCGCTTTCGCTGCCAGAGCTGCTGCTCCCTGACCCCTTGCCCGGCCAACGCTCACCACTCTTAACAACGGCCTTGTGCTGTTTCGGCGGAGGCGGGAGGTCGAAGGTGGAGGCGGACGGAACAGGCGCCAGAGCTGCAGTAGCTGGTATGGTGCATCCTGGCCACTGTACCTGTTGTGTCGCGCGGCCGTGGGCCGCCCGGTACTTCTGACGGCCACCCGCGTGGCCGTCGNCAGCAGCAGGAGCACGGCCACGATCGCGCTGATCGGAGCCACCACCACGCTGGTGACCTCCCGCTTGGCGCCGGTCCGAAGATGCGTCCCGCGGGCGGCCTCCTTGGCGACTCCGGCCAGCTCCGGAATCGTTATGGGGACGCCAACTGTTTTAAGTCGCTTTCGCCGCCAGAACTGCTGCTCCCTGACCCCTTGCCCGGCCCACGCCCACCACTCTTAACAACGGCCTTGTGCTGTTTCGGCGGAGGCGGGAGGTCGAAGGTGGAGGCGGACGGAACAGGCGCCAGAGCTGCAGTAGCTGGTATGGTGCATCCTGGCCACTGTACCTGTTGTGTCGCGCGGCCGTGGGCCGCCCGGTACTTCTGACGGCCACCCGCGTGGCCGTCGACATGCCGGTCGGAGCGACCGTCTCCGATGCTGTGCACGCTGCACATTACAACGCGGAGCGTCACGGCAAGGTGGCACTCCTGATCTCCGCTCTTCGGGCGGCCCACGACCGCGCGACACAACAGGTACAGTGGCCAGGATGCACCATACCAGCTACTGCAGCTCTGGCGCCTGTTCCGTCCGCCTCCACCTTCGACCTCCCGCCTCCGCCGAAACAGCACAAGGCCGTTGTTAAGAGTGGTGGGCGTGGGCCGGGCAAGGGGTCAGGGAGCAGCAGTTCTGGCGGCGAAAGCGACTTAAAACAGTTGGCGTCCCCATAACGATTCCGGAGCTGGCCGGAGTCGCCAAGGAGGCCGCCCGCGGGACGCATCTTCGGACCGGCGCCAAGCGGGAGGTCACCAGCGTGGTGGTGGCTCCGATCAGCGCGATCGTGGCCGTGCTCCTGCTGCTGCCGCCTCTTCTTCTTCTTCTGCCAGATGCCGAGTGCGATGGGAACGCGTAGCTATCCCTGAAGACTCATGATGACTCACTTTCTCTTTCTTGTTACCTCTCAACACAGCAGTACACTTGCTGTTCCTAGCCCCGTCAGTAGACTGAACAGAAGGGGGCCGCTCTTTGCTGAGAGGGGGGGTGCTACGGCTATATCCCCTGTTTAGCAATAATCCAAAGGAGTTGCAGTTCCCGCCAGATCTACATATCTTGCCTAGAACTACCGTTAAGATACATGTACTCAACTCCCATAACACCCCCCTGCTGACATATATTTCACGGAACCCCCCCTCCCCCCCCCCCCCCCCCCCCCCCCCCCCCCCCCCCCCCCCCCCCCCCCCCCCCCCCCCCCCCCCCCCCCCCCCCCCCCCCCCCCCCCCCCCCC